AGATTAAACTTCAATATAAAGTTGTATCCAAATTCGGATACAGCCTCTCGCAATTTACAATTTTATCGAATCCAAATGTATTCACTAGTAAATAATTTTATGCAGAGGAAACCCAGCGCATTGTTTACGGCCACAATATTATTAGCAACATTGTAAGAGGATAGCCTACTAATTTAATTGCTTACCGTAACTCCTTATAATTATCTGTAAATTAAACACTTATATTTTTATATACTTATACAAAAACGGTTCTAAAATAAAACTGTGAATTTACTGTCTACTTAACAAAATCCAGCGGTCACATAAATATTTCATACCACTTACTGGCATCCATTAAATCGGCCTTGTCCAGTGGGCCGTTGTGTGTGTATTTATGTATGTTTGTGTGTGTGTGTGTGTGTGTGTGTGTGTGTGTGTGCGCGCGCGCGCGCGCGTATATGTGCACTTTAAGTGTATAAATCTGTGTTCCTTTAAATCCTGCATTGTCCTATCATATCATATTCATGTAGCGCAAGAAACAGTATTATTATCACTTATAATTCAGTCGATTAAATTAAAAATGGGGAACCTCGGAGATATATAATTTTCTTGTTATCGCTTTTAAACTTCTCAGAATTTTTCATTAAACATCGCTAATTAGAATAGTAGAACAGTTCGAAGTAGAGAAGTTTCATAATTTGATTCTTTATTTAGTGTTGCCAGTAATTAAATCACAAAGAATGGGATTTATTTGACATGTAGAAAGCAGAGAGAAACAAGTGTGGCGCATAATTAATTATTCCATTTGAAACAAATGAATTTTTTATTTATTAGTATTTTTTAATATTTTTCAGAAACAAAGAAGATGCTTGGAAAATTATTATGAACCGCTATACAGACCAGCAGCATGCAGAAGTTGCTTAATAATTATTATTATTATAATTATTTTACAAACAATTTCTCAGTTGCATTGACGCGGTGAGAATTTTGCAGAAATTTTAACACCCGAACGGCTGCAGCGAATGTTCAGGCATGACTTACATCTTTTGTCCGTACAAGATTCAGGTGGTGTATGAATTGGAGCCAAGAGATCATGAAAAGGGCATAGAATATTCCCGCCCTTTCCTGCAGGTATTTCATTATGCGCCACCTGTATAAATGCGCACAACATTTTTGTTGGAAATCCACTAGGAAGAGGCAACCTATGAGGCGCAGGCTGCAGTTGAAGGACGGAATTTAGTGGTGAGACTTCTGGGTAGCCGGAGTTCGTAACAAAGATTGAATCCATAAGACCAGTAACTATGAACTGATTGTTTGACGTCTTTTTCCATGGAGTTAGTGAGTTCTGAGGCAGCAAAAATTCGTTTCTGCGTTTGTTGCAGCAAAATACAAAGAAAATTGTGTTATTTTGCAACAGTTGATTTTTATGTTAAATAAATGCACGTAATAAGCAAGGAGCAATATAGTTACGGAAGAAATGGGTTTGGAGAATGTGTATGTTTCAACAATTCCACCACTTTTTTATTCTTAGTCGCATAACCCGCTTATAAATTTATGCAGAATGTACACGTGAAATGTGTACCATTTTGCTGTAACATTGCTCAAGAACCGAGATATAGAAAAATGAAAACAGAACGCATTTGAGTAGGATATGTGATAAAGTTTATAATTCGTGCCACTTGAGTTTCCAGAATCTTTCCAGCTGAAGTGTTGCAATCGCAGTTTTTAGAATTAAAATTCTCTCCGACTTTCTTCTCGTGAAATGAAACCGATTAATATTTTTACAGTTAAAGTTATCTTTAGAGTTGAAGCCACATTCCATTTATCGGGAAATGTTAATCGATAGCGGTAACTTCTCGTTTTGTTAAGTCTAACAGCCTGTTTACTACGGTCGATAATAGTTTGGAGCGAACGCTCTAAGATATCCCATAGTAACCGACGCTGATACATTATTTACCTTAGCAACCGGCAGCTTGTATTTTTCAAAGAAACGAAAAATATTTAAGAAGTCAATTGGTAAATTACGCTGTATCTTAAGAAATTAAACTCGTGCGATAATTATAAAGGATTCTCTAAGGTAAGTTCTATTTTACCGTTTTCTTGTATCTGTTGTGTTGCGCATATGTTGGTTCTTTATCACGAAATATTAAAATGGACATTAGGGAAGCAGGGTGTGGTGATGTGGATTGGGTTAATTTGGCTCAGAATAGGAACCAATGATGGTGTCATGAGAACAAGATAATGGATCTCCAGCCCCATTCAAGTCGAGGGTATATCTTTTTCCATGGAGTTACACATTTCCGAATTAACTTTGTATACAAATGTAGGAACGAATTAACTAGCATATAAATATTTGGGACCCGTTTCTGTTACCTCCCAAAATTTGATTAAAACATGCCATGTTATGTCATCAATTTCCTGTGACCACTTTGTGTTTTCTTGTTTGTGCGACTATTTAACTCAAAATCAGAATGTGCATTACGTCAAAGCCAGGGAGTTACGGAAAACGGCAAAACAGCCCCTCCCTGGAGAACATTTTTGCACTGTTATTTTACTTATAATTACAAGCATGTATGTACCGGAAGCCAGAAAATCGAGGCGACACTGCAGGCGTACATTTAGCAACACGAAGTTCACTATTTCTACACCCTCCTTGAGACCCAAGAAAAAAAATTCTGTGCCGTATTGATCCTTGTTAACATGCTATGTATTTATAAATATTTACAAATATACTTATAACCCCCATTTTACTCGCCTTTGTTTGGCTGTGATAGTTTGTCTCTCAGTTTTTACTTACTCCATAGAGCCGAGTCCTTCCCGTGAAGCCAACAGTCGTTCAACCACTCAAGAAATTCCCAACATTTTATGGAACCCGAAGGTTCGTTACCGTGTTCATAAGAGCCCGCCACTAGTCCCTATCCTGAGCCAAATAAATCCAGTCCATTCCACTCCATTCTATTTCTAAGATCCATTTTCATATTATCCTCCCACCCACGTCTAGGTCTTCCCAGTGGTCTCTTTCATTCTGGTTTGCCCACCAGAAACCTGTATGCATTCCTCTTTTCTGCAATTTGGGGTTACATGCCCTGTCCACCTCATCGTCCTTGACTTGATCAGTCTAATTATATTTGGCGAGGAGTACAACTTACGAAGATCCTCATTATTCAACTTTCTCCAGCCTCCTAACAATTCATCCCCCTTTAGTCCAAATATTCTCCTCAGCACCCTGTTCTCAAAGCACCCTCAGTCCACGTTCCTCCTTTAGCGTCGGAGACGAAGCTTCACACCCATTCAAAATTATACTTTTTTACGTAATCGACGAAAAGACAAAAGGTTCTGCGCTGAATGGTACCAAGCATTACAAAATTTAATCTGTACTTAATGTACACGTGAATACAATTTTGATTTGTTACTGTCGCTCCCAAATATCTGAACTTTGTCACATTTTCAAAGGATCCATTAGCCATCTTTATTTTACGATTTTGACCTGCATTCTGGTGACGAGATATCAATATATATTTTTTCTCTGCGTTTACTTCTAGACCAGGCTCCTTACTATCATCAATCAGAGCTTCTGTGTTTTTTTTATGGTGTTTAAGTTATCCCACAATAGATTTACATCATGAGCATAGACCAGAAGCTGATGTGTCCCATTCAATTTCAGTCCTACCTGGTTTTCCTGGGCCTTCTCAACCGCATATTCTAAAGCAATGGTGATAAAGCATCTCCATGTTTTAGACAATTCTGAATAGGAAACGTGCCAGACTAATGTTTACCTATGCGGACTATACTATAGGCATCGTTTAAAAACATTTTAACAAGTCTAACTAGTTTCATGGGTATACCAAACTCAATGAGAACATTGTACAATACTTCCCTTCTAGCTGAATCATACGCTTCCTTGAAGTCTTTGTATAGCTTATGTACTGTCTCATTGTGATCAGTACTTTACCTATTACGACGAAACACTCACTGATGGTCCCCAATAATTTGGACTAAACCTTGAGAGAAGGATGATGGATAAAATTTTATATGAAGCTGATAACAGTGATATACCTTGATAATTACTACAGTCAGTTTATATCGCCCTTCTTGTAAATTGGTACAATGGCTCAGCTGTATGCATTTCCGTCTGCCAAACATCACTAACCCTATGAACATCCAATAGCTGAGAGAAGTAATTCTTCCTCCTATTCAAAATGTTGTGGGACTCTACAAGCAGGCCACCATTCTCGTCCTTTATCAATTTACTTCTAGATTGGTAACCCTTCTTAAATTCATTTATGCGTCTGTACAAGTCTCTAATGTTCTTGTTCTTACTATGTGTTGCAAGTTCATTAATTTTGTCTCTCACATAGTCCTTCTTTTTCCCCCCGAAATATCTAGTAAGTAAGGTTTGAGGTTTTCACAGCAGTGAATCTGAAGATGGCTATCTTTTGGGTTGTTGCACCGTGTAGTTTGGTAGAAGTTTTCAGACGTTTCAGAGGTCCTTGCTGCCTACATCACCAGGATCTGGCAAAAGTTTTTTGTGGTATTTTGAGATTTTATCGAATACATGCTCTAGTTCCTCATAGTCATTTCCTTTGTTAACAGAAGTTTTATTCTTCTTTGGAACATGCACATTCAGAACAGTAATACTACACCAACGATCTCTTACGACATCCCGTCACTGACAAACTCTACGCTCTTAACTGCTGACATGTGTACAAAAAATCCTGTCTCCAGTTCATGATTCTCGTTCCCCTTTCCATAGAAAAATGTAATATCTCCTGCCAGTACAGTGCCACCCGTGCTCCATCTGACCTCGTTTACTCCCACTAAACTTACACATCGCTAATTATAATATTCACATCTAGGAGAGGACGTATCAATTAAATTGAGAACAATAGTCTCCATAATGAGGGGCTTCCTAATTTGTATTCTGTGCTATATATTGTAACGTAATCTGTGATTACACTGTTTTTTTTATTTGTTTTTGAAAATGGATGT